TTCCCTCATAATTCCCACTCAAAGAAACTCCATATATGGCTTCCAGATATTTTACATTCAGGGGCTATACTCCCAAAAGCATACAAGTTACACAAGTGAGATTTTAGCTGCTCATTTCCTCAGTCACATTCAACCCAGGAGAAGAGGAGGTGCAACCACACTCCTTCTGAGTAAGCAGTGCACAGTGAGCTCCGAGCTCTCTGGTTGCTCAGCATAGCTGCTCCTGCAGCTCCATATGTATAGTGCGATTTGAGCAGCTGTCTGAACTCGCTGTGCTTTGGCAGTACCAGCACTGACCAGCCAGTGAGCCAAGAGCTCACTGTGCACATGGTACACAGCCAAGAGTGTGGCTGCACCTCTCCCCTCCAGATCTGCCCTCCGATACCACCACAAACTAAGAACAAATATGAATATGCCACAGGAAGCCTGCACAACTGCAGGAGAGTTTGTTTTGGCTGGCAGTTTTCGTTCTTAATGACACAACTGTGTTTAAGAACACAGTTCTAGATGCCACAACAGCAAGAGATCTATGGGCAATTCACTACATACACATTATGAAATCTGCTACCCTGCTACTTGTACACAGAAGAGTAATAAATCTAACTACATATGAGGTAATTGCATATATATCTAATATAAGCAGTATCACTGGAAGTGGGTAAGAGGGTTTTCTACCCTATCAGAAAAGGGACTGAAATTTTAGAGGGTCCTATACTAAATTTAAAATTAGGTAATTCAGAACAGGAAGTGTAGTGTATCACCAAGAAAGTTTCATCTTGATTATGCACAAGAACATTGCCAGTTTAGAATTCCATCAACTAGAATATCAAGACATCACACGATAATAATAGGAAAATGAAATGGAATTTCTATGTTATAAAAGAGAAACAACACTACGCAAGGGCATTTCTTTTAATGCCTCATCTGTGCCACCTGAAGCAGCATGCAACTACTTTTCAGAATCCAAAGTGTAGTGAGAGCCATGGAATATTTGTTGTGCAGCTGCATGCACATAATGAACAATCCTGCAGCTTTTCATCACGAAAAAAAATCAACTTAAAGGATTATGAAATACAGTTTATTAAAATGACCTGTAGCTAAGAGTCAAGGTAATAGTTGAACTAAAACTGGTTTTAGTTAAAAGTATCTCTGTTAGTCATCGCTGTACCATCTGACCCCCATCAACTCACTAACAGATTCCATCTTCACATAATTCTCATCTTAGAAATGACTAACCCCATTTTGGGAGAACTGAGGCACTAGATTAAGTAGCTTTTCCAAAGTCTGCAACAGGCAAAAAACTTAACTGGAGAGACTAAACCACAAAAACTGAAACTTCCCTTCCTAGCTCAAACTTTTACTAGTTTAAGAGTTCAAATTAATGGACTTAAAAAATGGCTGTACACAAATGCACTGGGAAACAAGAATGAAGAATCATAAGTCCTCACACGGTCACAGAACTATGACATGACTGGAATAACAGAGCCTTGGTGGGAGAGCTCGCATGACTGGAGTAGTCAGGAATGGATGCAAACTGTTCAGGAAGGACAGATGGGAGGAGAGGAGGAAGAGTTGCTCTTTACGTAAAAATGCTGTATGACTGCTCCAGTATGAAATTGGAGACAGGGCTCTTGAACATCTCTAGGTTATGGTTAGAGGGGAGAGCAACCAGGGCGATGCTGTAGTCAGGGTCCACTATAGACCTCCAGACCAGGAGGAAGTGGTGAATGAAACTTTCCTCAAACAGCTGGCAGAAGTTTGCAGATCACAGACCCTGGTTCTTGTGAGGGACTTCAATCACCCTGACATCTGCTGGGAAGGCAACACAGCAGTGCACAGGCAGTCCAGGAAGTTTTTGGAAAGCGCTGTGGACAACCTCCTGGTCCAAACGCTAGAGCGGCCAACTAGGGGTTGTGCTCTTCTTGACCTGTTGCTCATGAACAGGGAAGAATTAGTGGGGAACATAGAAGTGGGAAAGCAACTTGGGCAACAGTGACCATGAGATGATCAAGGTCAGGATCCTGAAGAAAAAAAGGAAGAAGAGTAGCAGAATAAGGACCCTGGATTTCAGAAAGTACACTTTGACTCCCTCAGGGAACTGCTGGGTAGGATCCCCTGGGAGGCCAGTCTGAGGGGGAGAAAAATCCAGGAGAGCTAGTTGTACTTTAAAGAAACCTCACTAAGGGCACAGGAATGAACCATCCTGATGGGCAGAAAAACTAGCAAGTATGGCAAAAGACCGGCTTGGCTAGCAGGGAACTCTTCAACGAGCTAAAGCACAAAAAGGAAGCTTATAAGAAGTGGAAACTTGGACACATGACAAGGGAGGAGAATAAGAATATTGCTCGGACATAAGGGGATGAAATCAGGAAGACCAAAATGCAATTGGAGTCGCAGCTAGTAAGGGATGTGAAGGGTAACAAGACGGGTTGCTACAAGTATGTCAGCAACAAAGGGAAGATCATGGAAAGTGATAGGTCCCTTACTGAATGGGAGGGCAACCTAGTAACAGAGGATGTAGAAGCTGCTGAATACTCAATGCCTTTTTTACTTCAATCTTCACAAGCAAGGTCAGCTCCGAGACTACTGCGCCTGGCAGCAGTTTGTGGATTGGGGAGCAGCCAACAGTGGCAAAAGACAAGGTTAGGGACTATTTAGAAAAGCGGGACGTGTGCAAGTCCATGGGGCTGGACACTTCACACAAGAGTGCTGAGGGAGTTGGCCAATGTGATTGCAGAGCTGCTGTCCATTATCTTTGAAAACTCATGGTGGTTGGGAGAGGTCTTGGACAATTAGAAAAGAGCAAATACAGTGCCCATCTTTACGAAAGGGAAGTAGGAGGATCCAGGGAACTACAGACCAGCCAACCTCACTGCAGTCCCTGGAAAAATCATGGAGTAAGTCCTCAAGGAATCCACTTCTAAGTACTTGGAGGAAAAGGTCATTGGGATCCATCAGCATGGATTCACCAAGGGTAAGTAATGCCCGACCAATCTGATTGCCTTCTATGATGTGATGACTGTCTCTGTGGATGCAGGGAGAGCAGTGGATGTGATGTACCTCAACTTCAGCAAGGTTTTTGATGCAGGTCTCCAACAACACTCTTGCAAGCAAGCTAAGAAAGTACAGGCTGAATGAATGGACTGTAAGGTAGATAGAAAACTGGCTGGATCGTTGAGCTCAAAGGGTCATAATGAAGGACTCAATGGCTATTTTGCAGCCAGTATCTAGTGGAGTGCCCCAGGAGTTGATCTTAGGGCTAGTTTTTTTTAATATCTTCATCAGTGACCTGGAAGATGAGATAGAGTACACTCACAGCAAGTTTGCAGATGACACCCAAGCTAGGGGGGAGTAGCAGATACACTGGAGAGGAGAGCTAGGATTCAGAGACACAAATTGGAGGTTTGGACCAAAAGAAATCTCACACAGTTCAATAAGGTCAAGTTCAAAGTCCTACGCTTCGAACAGAACAATGCCATGAGCCGATAAAAGCTTGGAACCGACTGGCTAAGCAGCAGCTCTACAGAAAGAGACTGGGGGGGGGAAGGGGGGGGAGGGTTACGCTCAGCTTATTGTCCAATGTGAGCCAAAAGTGCACAGCCTTCTTGTGAAGAAGGCCAACAGCATACTGGGTTGCGTAAGCAGTAGTGCTGTCAACAGATCGAGAGAAGCGATTATTCCCCCTATTCAGCACTGGTGAGGCCACATCTGGCATAGTGTTCAGTTTTCGGCCCCCCACTTCAGAAGAGATGTGGACAAATTGGAGAGAGTCTAATGGAAGGCAATGAAAATGGTTAGGGCGCTGGGGCACATGACTAGTGAAGAGAGGCTGAAGGAACCAAGCTTGTTTAGTCTAGAGTGCAGAAGACTGAGGAGGGATTAAATAGCAGCCTTCAACTACCTGAAGGCAGGTTCCAAAGATGATTCTATGAAAACCAAAAGCTATTTTTCCAAAGTTAGAATTTTACATTTTTATCTGAACAAGTAAGTTTTAATACAAAGTTCCGTTCCACCATTACTGCAGCGATTGTTCATGCTATGCTGTCATACCTACTACCAGCAAGTCCTTCACTTCAGGTTTCAAGTTTAAATATCAACAAGACAACAAAGGGCTTGCTTATCTTTATTAAAAAGGGGATTGTATGCAGAATAGTAAGCCTTTCTAGTGTGCATACAGTCAGTGGCTGCCTGGCATCTACACATTTAAGTTGCCTCCAAATGATTTTTTTAAAAGAAGAAGGGGAAAAAACAGGAACCTTTAATGGACAGCAATGTTACATATGCAGCTACTGTTTTGTAGAGCTTGAAAGAGAGGCAACTAGATTTGTTTTGTGGGGAATGCTGTGGGCTCATAACTTCTCCATTTTAAAACAGCAAAGAGCCCATGCTCAAGAAAAAAGAAATGAACAGCAAGTTTCCTACAATAAAGAAAGGAAGTTTCAAGACAACCCACTGTCAAGTCTCAGCTTCTTAAAATTCCTTTCAAAAAAAGGGGGGG